TGCTAGGAGTTTCAGTTGTTAGAATTCATGACCTGGTACAAGAATGGGAAGGCTAATTTGTCATTGATATATTCAGTTCGTTTTTAAGGAGCCATAAGCAAAATGATAGTGACAACAGTGGCACTAATAGCCTCAACTAAACAGTCATGTTTAGACTGTATTACATTATATTAACCCACTAACATTATGTTGCCCATATACTTATACAAAATAGCAGCTTAAGAGATTTCTTTGCAATTCATTTTAATCAGGATTCTCTTATCTAAAATTCAGTTTCCATATCAGATTACCGAATTAGCTTAATTAACAGTGGCTTTAACAAAAATCAGAGAACCATATGAACTACGGTACTTAAATTCAGAAGACCATATTCAAACTAATGCTGCAGAAGCTTATATTAGCACAGAGAGATTGCAGAATCAAGATAGCATATACATAAAAATGCTGTTTCAAAACTTCTATATAAAACAGGATGGTTGCCTGCAATTTAATAAAAGCAAATCCAGAAAAACATACAGATTTCTTTACAAATAAATAAGAACAGCATCAAATGACTATTCATCAATTGAAAATAAGAGCCTATGTATTTATAAATTCAATTGCTCTTAATTCTTACATTTATTTTCTCTAAATGAATAATTATAGCTTGGATGAGTTAGGGTTCCATGCTCCCGCCCATATAATTTCTGAATATAGGTAGTCCTTGACTTATGACCACAACTGAGCCTAAAATTTCTGTTGCTAAGCAAGACATTTGTTAAGTGAATTTTGCCCAATTTTACGACCTTTCTTGCCACCATTTTTAAGTGAATCATTGCAGTTGTTAAGTTAGTAACACAGGTGTTAAATGAACCAGGTTTCCCCATTGACTTTTCTTGTCAGAAGGTTGCAAAATGTGAACACCTGACCCCTGGACTTGACAACCGTCATAAATATGAGCCAGTTACTAAGTGTCTGAATGGGGGTGCTGCAACAGTCATAAGTGTGAAAAATGGTTATGTCACTTTTTTGAATGCCATTATAACTTTAAATAGTCACTACGTGAACTATTGTAAGTCAAGGACTACCTGTATTCAGTCCCCAAGAAATTGGTGAAATTACTGTTAAAATAATCTGCTCAGTCCGAACAGCCACAGTTTGAATATGTCCAAGATGGAGTCGTTTTGTGTTTTGGGGCCTCTTCATAGATGCTTTACAATCAATGTATCCTAGATTTATAATTCATCCTGCTCGATGAGCAAGTAGCAGCCATGTCAAGGAAGGCTTTAACACAGTTTCATTAAGTTGCTGCTCCTTATGCGGCCATTCTGGGATTGGGAAGACAGAATCATTCATGCTTTTATCATCTCCCATTTGGATTACTATAATGCCCTTGAAGAACATTTAGAAGCTATAGTTGGTTCAGCATGCTACAACCATGGACGATCCTGCTGCTTTGGGAGCTACACTAGTTATTGTTTGACTTCTGGGTGTGACCCAAGGGTCACCTAGGCCCTGAATGTGATCATTTAAGGCAGAGATCACCAACCTTTTGGGCACCAGGGACTGGTTCCGTGGAGAGAGGTTTTTCTGCAGACCGGAGGGTATGTGGTTTTGTGTGCTGCCTGCATCTTGCAGATGGGGCTTTGCTTGTTTGTGCGGCCCAGTTGCTGGCATGCTGCAGCCCAGTACTGGTCCATGGACCAGGGGTTGGGGACTCCCGATTTAAGGAACCTGCTTCTGTTGCATTCAACAGAAAGCTAAAACATATAAGGAACGGTTGATGGAATTGGGTATGTCTAGTCTAATGAAGAGAAGGATGAGGGGTGACATGATAGCAGTGTTCCAATATCTCAGGGGCTGCCATAAAGAAGAAGGAGTCAAGCTATTCTCCAAAGCACCTGAAGGCAGGACAAGAAGCATTGGATGGAAACTAACCAAAGAGAGAAGCAACCTAGAACTAAGAAGAAATTTTATGACAGTTAAAACAATTAATCAGTGGAACAACCTGCCTCCAGAAGCTGTGAATGCTGCAACATTGGAAGTTTTTAAGAGGAGACTGGATAGCCATTTGTCTGAAATGGTATAGGGTTTCCTGCCTGAGCAGAGGGTTGGACTAGATGATCTCTAAGGTACCTTCCATCATCATCATCATCATCATCATCATCATCATCATCATTATTATTATTATTATTATTATTATTATTATTATTATTATTATTATTATATTGAGGGAGAGGTCGAAAGGCATTTTTGTGCTCATGAGACGAGAGTCAGAATTCTTGATAATTGGAAAAAAAACTTGTTTATTAGTTTCCAACACTGTTACACTTGTATATAGTTTAGAATCTTTAGGTTCATTTATATAAATCAAATAATAAATGATAAAGAGCATGAATTAATAAACATGGAATAAAAATAAATGAAAAATACATGATTTTTGTTTGTGTGAAACTAAAAGAAAGAAGATTTGTAATAGACTGGAATAAAAGTAATCTGATCTTGAGGATGGGTGGTAATAAATGCTTGTAGGAAATGAAAGTATATATTTAATAATTACAGGTAGTCCTTACTTACAACAATTCATTTATTGAATGGCACTGAAAAAAGTGATTTATGACCATTTTTCACACTTAGGACTGTTGCAGCATCCTATGGTCACATGGTCAAAATTCAGACACATGGCAACTGGCTCATATTTATGACGGTTGCAAAGTCAATGGGGAACCAGTTTCACTTAACAACCATGTTACTGACTTAACAATTGCAGTTATTCACTTAACAACTGTGGCAAAAAAGGTTGTAAAAATGGGGCAAAATTCACAACTGTTTCACTTAGCAACATAAATTTTGGGCTCAATTGTAGTTGTAAGTCAAGGACTATCTGTAAAGAAAAGGTCAAACGTATTTTAGACTATACCAATTGGTATCTATGTGGTTGTGAGTGCAAATTAAGAATCCACCTGAGGGTGATAGTTGTACATTTACACTCCAATGAATGGTGATAATAAAAGAGCTTAACATTTGGAAAATCTCTGCCATTCTGAATGAATTCAATCTAGTAAAAAGTATTCTGCTGATAACATGAATGGATAGATGAAAACAATATTAGATCACTAATCGGTTGTCTTGGAAGACCATCTCTGTTTCTTTTTCTTTCTTTGTCTCTTTCTTTCTTACTCCCTCTCACACACACCATCTTCCTTAATTTTAAAGTTGGTGTAAGACCCAAGAGCCAGGGGAACAGATCTCTGCCAGAACTATACTGTCCCACTCACACCAAAGTCATGGACCACCCCTCATCCATTAGGTGGGATGCATTCTATGGAGCTAAAAAAGCTGACAGACAGCAGTCACATTTAGTAAGGAAGTGTGACTTAGAAAACTTGTCTGTTAACTAATTTTTGAATATGCAGCCTCTCATATCAGTCAGTCTTTCTAGCCTAACATTATTTTAAAAGTCCCATTTTTAATGAGTATCATAGATATCATACTGTTTTCTCAGGAATATGCCCCCTGCATTTGATCAAAAGGTCTATCATCCTTGAAAGTTTATGAAATAATACATTATTTGATCTTTAAGTTACTCGACTCTTGGTTGGGTTGAGTTCAAGATATTAAGAATATTCCGTCCCTTTCTATTCAGGGAGAAAGTTTGACTTTAATGACTTTGCCACCAGGTGGCAGTATTGTCTTATTTTAAGATGCTTTGACCTAAATTATAGTTCTATATTTTAACCTTCATTTTCTCACTTGATGTCTTGCACATGTTACCGAAGACTGATGGTCCTTTGTGTTTAGATATTCAGACCCCTCCCCACTCCAGAAATCATGAACTGGAAATAACAAAACTTTGGGAGCTGTAATCTTCAAATCATATTAAAATAGTGGATTTCAGGTTTTTTCCCCTTCAAGTGTTTTCTTCGAAGAAAGAAAGAGCTGCTCAGTTTGGTAAGATCTGGATGAGAATAAGATGGAAGCAAAATATTTCAATTTTATGTATCGCTTTGCTGCAATCTAGTAGCCATCTGGATTTTTGCAGCTCAGGTTTAGTAGCCCTAACTTAATGAAAACTTACTTTCAGACTGATTGAAGGTCAGATATGATTATTTCCTTCAAGGTGAAAGAAATTACAACAGCCTACTTGGGAGGAAAATCTATGAGATTTTCTCTTTATTCCATAATCTCAATTCCATAAAATTTCTTTCCCGCACTCACAGTTGCCTTGGTACTCACTAAAATAAGGAAAACAAGTAAAATTTAGCTCTTATTAGGAAAAATTCTGAAAATTCATGCTTTAATTTGTTACTACCATTTGTTCAGTTCTTCAATTTCTTGTCATTTTTGGTTTTTATTATTCGTTGCTTGTATAGCATGTTAGTCCCAATTTATACAGGGGGACTAGTTAAGGCAAAGGGTTGGGCGAGTTTTCCACAAGCATGGTGGAGTATAACTTAAGTATAACCTTTTTATTATTTTTGTGGTTACTGAGAATAATTGTTAAATCCAGATAAGGAATTTTAAGATATTAGCTGCAGAGTAAAGAAGATACAGGGGGTTCAATGCCTCATCAGTTAAAGACAGCTGACAGCCCAGGTTTGAGACCCGAGCACTGCGCAATGGGGTGAGCTCCAATCCAGATGACTTTATCTTTCTCAGTGTCAATGTACTGTATTTGGGGGGGGGGGGGTTATATCTTTTGCTAGGGTTTATATCAACCACTCCACTGAGAAGTATTTTATTTTGGTAAATTCTTCAAGTGAATCTTGGCTCCTGGTGATTACATTTTCATGTCCATGTACTTCTTTTGGCAACAATTTGAATTGGTTTGCTAATGCCATCTTCTTATTCAGCTTTCTAGATCAGAGTTCCACAAACGTTCTGGGTTGGCAGCCTGGGGGGGGAAGAGGAGAAAGAGGAGATGGTTTTGTGGGAGGGGCAGGTGCAAGTGAGGCCGAGAACACCTGTAACGCTCATGTGAGTGAGGCCCTGAATGCTTGCGCGAGGCCCCAAGCGCTCAAATGACTGGGGCCATGAGCTCCCATGATGCTCCAGCAACTGGGGCTGCGATCCCATGTGACATTCGCTGGAGTGGAGCTATGAGAACCTGTGACACTCACAGGAGTGATGCCCCAAGCGTCCATGCCACTCACAAGAGTGGGGCTGCAAGTGCCTGTGATGCTCGCGTAAGTGGAGCCGCAAGAGCCTGCGCAAATAGGGCCCCAGGCATCTGCAATGCTTGTGTGAGTAGGGCTGGACGCACGCATGTGCACGCACCAGCCAGCCACTTACGCAGCCCGGTTGCAAATAGGTCACGGCCCACAGGTTCGAGATGCCTGTTCTAGATACAACCTTGGAATTTTTAAATTGTTTTCTATTCAAATACTAACCAGATCTAGTGTTACTTAGCTTTTCAGGAGATGAGTCAAAATTGCTAACCACTTTAAACTCATTGTCCTAATAGAGCTTTCTGTAAATTGAACTGAAAAAGCTGTCCCCAGCACAGTGCCTTCCAAGTCCATTAATCTCCACATCTTGCCATCCTTCAAATGGCCATTATAGTTAACCATGCTATTGTCCAATTGGGACAACATTGGGATGACATTTCTGCTTCATAATAAAATAGGGTTATTTATTGAAAACAAGCCATAATTCTAATTCAGTTTCATAGATCATATTTCTGGATTACAAGGATATAGAATCATAGCTTCTAAGACATAATTTCAATAACTTTTTACAAAGCTAAATAAAAGTCCAGGCCAATTTGCATTTAATCATGGTACAAACTTTCCCTGTCAGCATCTTTATTTCATCACGTATCCATAATGTTGCTTTCACTTCATTCTTAGCACATGAATGAGGCAGGCCAAATTGTCCTTAGCTGTTCTAGTTTTAAAGCACTGTTTTCCCAAAGAAGCCATCAGCAACCTGAGATAGTTTTGGTATTTATGAAATCTGGCTATTCAGTCATGGTACTCAGGTGAGCTGTGCACATTGGTCATTTCAGGATGATGCAATCAGATCCTGTCCTCTTGAATCCTGGAGATTTTCTTCTATTTTTTTTCCACCTTCCAGATGATACTCAAATAGTTGATCAATGGCTGGGAGAATTGCAACATAAAGCAGGAGAAATGGCTTTCTAGCCTGCTGAACATTTGAGATACAGGATGGTTTGCATAGTCTGTAATGTGGGAAAGGTATAGGAGTTATTCTGGGAGCTAGGCCAGGAGCTAGCGATTCTCAGGGCTAAAATGTTGGTTATGTCAGCAACCAACAGCTACTTAATTCTGAGACTGTACACGGGAAGGATTCAATTAAGCAGTAGGATAGACAGGAAAAAGAAACGTAATAACTAAATCACTGCAGGTAGAGGAAGTGGCTTCATTTCATTTGGGCAGACAACTGCAATCAACTGCCACATAAGTTTTCATCATGGTATTCAATACAGCAAATACTTTAATCATTGGCTTTGCTTAACATGTCTTCACAGCAGAAATGAGGACACCAGTAACCCACATAAACTGGATTAATATTACCAGATATTGCAGAGTAAAAAAACAGAAGATGGACATATATTTAAATCAAATGCCTGTTCCTTGATTTTAAAACAATTAATATATGAGAAAAAATATATGGCACTAGACAGATAGGAAGGATACGTACAGCCTAAAACAAAAAAATATGCAAGTACAGTTGTAAGATTAAAACACTATTATAAATACTAATTTGTATTGACTGATTTGATATTAATATCAGTAACCTCTCCTCTAATTATGTTCTTGTTCCTGGGAAGAAAACCAGATCTTTTCTCTTTCAAATAGCTGTCACTTGCATGTATTATACAAAAGCACCAACGGCTCTAGCACAGCCTTATATAGGTGGGTGAATGGGATGCCCATCTAAAAATAGCATTCTCTTTGGCTTTGAGTTGACAGGCAACATGAAAACTGCTATATTTCATGCTGACATTTGGAATATGTTCCCGGGATTATTTTAATTGTCTGGCAACAGAATAAAATAAACGAGCTGACCAATGAAGCCTTATGGAAATCGGTAACCACAAGTGGAAACATTCTTATTTGGTGTGATTCAACAGAGAATGACTTTGATTTGAGGCTGCTCAAGTTACAATTTTGGAGGTTAAATCTTTTCTTGGGTACAATTTATAATCCACATAAGCCGCATCAGTGGAGACACTGAAATGGATTGCATCGGTTATGGATGCAACTTTTAATCCAAACAGGGCACTTATCTGATTTTATTTGTGCAGGGTAATTTAAGAAAAAAGACCAAGCCAACCCAGGCCAGACCAGGCAACCTATTCCTGAAGTTTGCCGAGATGGATTTAGCAGCTACAGTACTTAATTCTGCAGAAGAAAAATAAAAGGGGAGAATCATATTAGCTATGAAAACATTGCCTCAACATTTCTAAATTCTGGTTTTCAAGTCAAAACAGGCTTTGTATGAATAAAATAGGCAGGAAATGGATAGTGTAAGCAGTTCAGGTAAATTACAAGGGGAATTTACCCTTTACAAGGGCAGGGCAAGACAAAGTCAACCAATGGAAATAGATTAGAAATACAACCAAAGAGTTCTGGATTGAGCTGTTGAGCAATATTCCAGTACTTGTTCCTTTTTAAAAAATAAAATGAATAAATACAGCCAATTTCAGTTGAGTTTCCAGTTCACAGCAGGGGCAAGGCCAGATGTTTGTGAAAGCTAAATCCTACGCTAACAACGCTCAGCCATGAACAGAGGAATAAGTGCTTAGTATTCTAAGTGAATCCTATCCTGGGCCTTCTGCCAACTTTAATCTAGTCCTGGAAAGTGAATATTGATTCCTTAATGCACCAAACCACTATTTGCCAGGTCAAAAGTCCAAAAGCAAAAAACACAAAGAGACAAAATTATTGTGAACTAATGGGCATTTCTTATGTTTCACTAAACAAGTGTAATTTAGGAAAAAATGTGTTAGATTGGGATTGAATTTGGGACTGTAGTGTCTTGACCTTAAACTAATGTGTTTGAAGTGTTCTTTTGAAAAATAGTCAGTGGTCTCTTTTTTCTGGGTAGCCCCCAGGAATTTAGTAGCATATTTAGAGTAAAAATATTTCTAATCTGATATGAATAGTATATGATGAGAAGACACCCTACCTCCTACTCTATATATTTTATTCTCCTTTTCTAAAAACATGCCTTTAAGAACAGCAACTAAAGGAATTGTCTCAAGAAGCAGCAGACAGAGACTAAGCCGTTCCCCATAAATCTGAGCACTGTGTTAATTCCTGCTATAACTGCCTTACTTACAAGTTAGGCACAAACTGGATTTCTGTCTGCTTTGTAGCTCCTGGTGCTAACTGGAAGGCTGCTCAAGCAATGAGGCAAGTAGCAAAAAATACCACATTGAGTGCTCATTTCAGCATTAACAAGTGACATTACCATGAGTGATAATTGCATACTGAGTGAAAAAGATCCTTATAAATTATATTTATTTCACTTTGTGCTGCTTCCAATATTCCCTCTGGGCAAAAGGAAGTATGCCTTCCTGGTTTATTTGTGTCATCATGCACAGGAAAGCAATAAACTAGACCCATTGGAAAAAACAGTCCCAGGGGACTGAAGATACAATTAGCAGCTGCCCTGAAGCTTATTTCTGCTGTGATTGTGAGCAAGCATAATAGATAGTCAACATGATTCCAACAATTTTGGAACTGATGCTGCAAAAAAAGCAAAAATGTATTTAAGTGAAAACAAGCACATTTGTTTGAGTTTCCAGCACTTCCTTATTACAGGAACCTTCTTTGTGTGGAAGAAGTGTACAAATGTATACTGTTTTGTACAAAGAAAGCTTTTGTAACGATCTCCTTGGTCCTAATCCTGCAGTTAGAGGAGAATCCAAGGAAGATTTCCATGACATTTGTTTTTAATTATTTGCCTCTTTAAAACCTGTGTGAAAAAGCAGGAAGAAAACAATTCCTTTCCATTAGTACCCCAAAATAATGTTTTTTCTAAGAGGTTTATTAAGAAGCATATCTGAATGCATAGTGCAGTAATAAAGGCTGTATAGGTAAATTGATAGCGGTATCTTAAGAGTAGTACTATCTGTTATTCTTTTCCAGTCATATACTCTGAAAGCATTAGCAGGAGAGGTGATGTAAACATTATTTCTATAGAAGTTATTTAAGAGTAGAGAAAATAAGAACAAACGCCATTTAAATAGAAATAGAGACCGGCACAATATCCTCTCATAAAACATGGAGCTCTAGTATGACGCATGGTGCTCACTGTTCAGAAATGTGCTGTATCTTCAATTTGCCAGGTAATATTTTGAGGATCATTACTTCATCCCCCCTCAGTTGCTCACCCTGGACTCCTGCCAAAAAGCATTCATTAACGTGATGATAATAAGTACCTATTTAGATATAACTTTTGAAAGTAAAGCAAATCTTCAAGCTATCAGTTATTTTGTTGCATTTGTCAAAAGGACCTCTTTTGGCCTATCGTTGAACATTGATCCATATGTTTAGAATCAGAGAGAAGGGGACCAGGAAAGGTAATATATACATACAGTATGTATATTGTATATACTCTGTGTGTGTGTGTGTGTGTGTGTGTGTAGATAGATATAGATAAGTGGTTCTCAACCTTTTTAATGCTGCGACCCCCAACCGGTCGTAAGTCGAGGACTAAACCGGTCGTAAGTCAAGGACTAAACCGGTCGTAAGTCAAGGACTACCCAACCGGTCGTAAGTTGAGGACTTTCCCTGCCCGGGAGCGCCGCGCATGCATGGTTCCGCCCCCTGCGCCGGCCGAGGCGTAGCTGGCAAGCGGCAGAGTCGGAGCAGGCTGACCACCAGCTGGCCCAGCCCAAGGGAGGTAAGGCACCCACCGGAAAAGGGGAAAAAAATGGCGGACAAAAAAAATGGCGGACAGCCTTGCTTGGCGACCCCCGTGAAATGGTCGATCGACCCCAAATGGGGTCGCGACCCATAGGTTGAGAACCGCTGATATTCATATGTACACACATACACACACACACATATACCTAAACATATGGCAGTGGAATGGGGTAAAACATGGTTCTGGATCCCGCAGAAACATTACCTGGGATGAATGCATTTTGAGGCCTTCTGAACAACCTTATTGAGAATATAGAATAATGGAAAATAAGGTTGCTCGGAAGGCC